AAAAAAAAAAAAAAGGGGTCTGTACCCCACATTGAGAAAATGAAACTCCCCAATGTAAATCGAACGTCTAATTATCACAATTATATTCACAAATCGACCAAATTTTCCGCGCCTATAACCAAACTTATTATTATTACGCTATTAAATGTGTCTGTAAAGAGGTCCGGGCTCTGCAGTTCCCATAGTAACAGTTGCATGTTTGGTTCAGATAGTGCCCGTAAATCGGGTAGTTGATCGTTATCAACTGTACCTTATTATTCTATCAATGGGAAAATGGTAAATGAACACGAAAGATAACTTCAGCCATGTGCCTTGGTTTGAGTCTCGTGAGTAGTGACCGGCAATAAAAAAAGTCCAGAGCTTTGACATGAAATATGTTGCATAAATGAATAAAGTTAAAAGGTCTGATTAATGTTGTCTGACGCCGTATCAGGTACATCTGTGGTTACTTTATTTTCAGGACGCTGAGTCTGAGCTCTTGCACCACCTAGTGTGAATACTCAATCAATGTTACGAGGAGGTGCGAAGAGAATAAGTGGGAAAAAAACTAGATTCATTTTATGAATGATTATTCTATTCGTAGTTTTGACATGACGTCAGTCACCAGCACTCAAAAGTAAAGAATTATCAATTCTCCTAAGATTTTGCTTTAATTAAGTGTCAAAGCAGCTAAAAATTTATGTTTTTACAAGTTTTTACTCCGAAAGGGTTCTTTGTTTTGTGATAGAGTACGTTTTAATTTCTAACCTTTTGTGTGACACGGCATTTACGTGGCAGCCGAGAGAGTTGCCACACAGGTTAAAGACTTGACTTAGTTCGGGGGATGTGGCTGGGCGTTCGTAGCATAACATACTACTAACAGTGCTCGTATATTTCTAAAATTATGCCAGTTTATGTAAATTACGCTCATTTTGCAAAAATATATGCAAAAATTACGCCTGTACTTTTTACTTTATTTTTGGTAAAAACTCCTCAATTACTGAGCAATTAACATGTAAAAGGCAAAAAATTTTTCCCTATCCATAGACTAGAAACTTTGCTAGCGCATAATTCATCATAAATTACCTGGCTATCAATGTCTTGCAAAGTATTTGCAGTGAACGACAACTTGGATAGCCGAGATGCGCATGCGTTTAGTCCTTCGGAAAGAATTCAGGGTCACTTCCTGTGGGAAGCAGGTCCAATGAATGTGACAATAAGTAGACAAAAATAATAATCTTGTCACGTAAATTTGCCTGTGACTTTGATCTCGAGCCAAAAAATTGGTTGCATGATCAACAAATGAAAATTTCGTGCTGTAAAACTAGCTAAAAGTGCAAATTATGCTAGCAGTGCTTTTTCAGAAAATAGGTGCTAGTTGAAAATTACGCTCGTAATGACGAACTATGCCAAAACTTATGCTAGCACAATCCATTAAAGCCTGGAAGTTGCTATCTGAACAGTGTTTGTGTTAGGAAAAGTACTACTTTAATCTTTATGAGTTCCTTGAGGGGTGAATTCACACGCTTTCGTAGCAAAGCTAGCAAAGGTGACAGTTGTTTCTGTTGGTTTCCTTCCGTCATGTTAATGCCATCCAGAACAGATAGGCGCCAACATGGCGTCTCCATACAAAAATCTAAAAATTAGGGTAAAATATTTTTCCTAGTATTTCGAATCAACCTGAAACATGGCGAGCATCTTTGTACATTCATCTTCTTACATTTCCCGTATTCTGGATTGTATCTATTAACCTGCGTGGCAGTCCTTTGGAAAGGAAAGAGGAAGGGGATCCCGGGCGCGCGAGAAGGGGGAAAAGCGCGCGAGGGGTGGGGTAGGAAACGCCGGCAAGGACACTATTGTCGTTTTCTTTGTTCACATCTACCAGAGAGATAAGGAAATCCTGATTGATTAGAATTCCAGACAAGTCAATC